TCCTGTAGTCAGCCGCTGGTCAGTTTCAGCAGCGGCTGAATCTGGACGCCAGTTCCGACTTACGTACAAATTCAACTTAAGAACAAACCTACAGTCCCTATCTTGTACATAACCCAGGGACTGCCTGTACATTTTTTGTGCATTTTAACTGAATTTGAATATCCGTTCAAATAAAGCGTGTGAGAAATCGCAAGTAAAAATCCTGTAGTCAGCCGCTGGTCAGTTTCAGCAGCGGCTGAATCTGGACGCCAGTTCCGACTTACGTACAAATTCAACTTAAGAACAAACCTACAGTCCCTATCTTGTACATAACCCAGGGACTGCCTGTACATTTTTTGTGCATTTTAACTGAATTTGAATATCCGTTCAAATAAAGCGTGTGAGAAATCGCAAGTAAAAAAGCCTTCAATAAATAAGAAATGGCCCATAAAAATACTCAGAATCCTACTAAATGTAAGTTAGGGTATATAATTGCTTAAGTAAATCTGTGTAGATATTATGCATCTTCTGATTAGTGCGCCCTTCCCCCCAAAAAGTGTAAAGGCTATTTAATTGCAAATCAATATGCTTTAATCCTATAAATGTGTACTAAATGTGTTTCCATTCATCAGGATGGAGTTAGCAATGTAGTCTGTATAAATTAAAGCTGTATTTCTACTGGGATGGGACTCCATATGTTAAATTCATGGATACTTCTTACTCATTAAAGACATTAAGAATACATCATGTAAACCACAGAACTTAGTATCAGTGTAGGTTTTGAACAAGGCAGTTAAATCTCTTTAGTATCAGAGGAAAAAATCATTTTAAATCATTTGACATATTCTGGGTAGGCCTCAATACCTTCCTTTCACAGTATGGAACATTAAGTTATTATGAAAAGCAATTCTGAAATTGACGACATTGTTCCTGTGTTCTACCTTGCAACACTCCTGTTGTCTGTCTTCCAAATTTGTATCTATCGGGAAGAACCAAAACACACGAGGCTGTGTAAATAGCAATCTGCGAAGGCGGTGGGGTTAGCTTCATAATCTTCTGTCTGATATCTTCTGCATGTTTTCTGATGTGCTTTTTAAAATAATATAGAGTCTTATGTCTTTAGAAGCATTTCACTGTTCTTCTGCATTATGAAGTAATGCTTTTGGTATGTTCAGATTAGTTCTGTAGACTTTATCGTCTCTTTGTCCCTTTTACTCATCTTAAGTTTGAAATTAATTCCTCAGAGTGGTGAGTGTTCTATATCCGTCTCAGGTGGTGTCTATTAGAGAAGATGCATTATTTGTGTAGGGATGGATGGAAGTAGGTATTTCCCTAACCAGCTGTGTTCCATGCTTAATTACAGGTCCTGTCCAATCTTGTTGCTGTGATTTTTAGGTATCTGAGGGGGTATGCTTTGGTGCAATTGTTATATTCTACTGCAACATTAGTTTACATTTTTGGAATCTACAGTATTTCTCTTCTTCACCTTCTCTTCTGCACGCCTCTCTTGTAAAATGTAAGTATTTAGTTCAATGATGAGTTTTAACAGGAGAGGTTTTTAATTCGCAAGTTTATGTTGTGCAGTTTGGTTCCCTGGTTTCCAGATATTGTCTGCTTTACTGCATGTTGAGATCTATTCTTTTGTTGACCTTTACTCTTTCTTTAAAGAATAGAAAGATGGACAAAATGGATTGTAAAATATAGTTTCACAGTGTGACTGGGCATTGGTTTTTAAAAATATGTATATTCTGGGTGCAGATCTCGGCAAGGCTTTCCATATAGCATGTTTGTAATACTGTACAGAATATCTACATTGTGAGAGTGATTTCCTTTAAGAATGTTCTCACTTTAAACTGCAATACCTTTGAGGATTCTGCCATAGATACACATATTGAAAGTCCAAAAATCCTCAGCAAGACTTTTCTAAAAGTATCAACAGTGGGCATTGATGTATTTCCTTCTTGTGCCTAATGGTCTAAAATCTGGCAACAAGAGGAAGCTCAGCTGGATGAAATTATGTACCTTTGCTTTAGGAGATGAAGCCATGAATGTTCTTTAAAACTGTATGTTATTCTCTGAATTCAAGCAGCTACCAGTCAAGATGTGTAACAGGAAGAAACAATGCTAGGAATAATGCAGTGTACTTTCCTTCAAGTGATCAGAGATTTTTAAACTAGAAATTGTCAGATGTAATAGTTAAGCATTACATTTCTGAATTGTATTCTCTTATCTTCTTGGCCTAAAAGATAAGTAGTGGTAGATGACTCCTGAATATTTTCTTTAAGTGTCCAACTCTAGATGCTTCGGCTGATTGTATTTGTGTTTGGGCTCTTAGAATTTACATTCTGTGCTAGTATTTACCATGTAGGCAAGAGAGAAGTAACCCTATCACTGTCTCAAAGAACAATTTATAGAACAGTGCATCTAAAACCCAAGTATAGTTTTACTATGTGTGTATGTAGTTTCTTGTTTTGTTTGCTTTCTATTGGTATGGTACTTGGGCTAAACCCGTTTTCCAGTTCGTTTATCTCTCTCTCTCTTTTCTTTTTTTTTTTTTAACGGGAGGGAATTCTCATCCTATTAGTTTTCCTTCTTGACTACAATAGTTGTGAAGCATTAGAAAACCAAAATACTAAGTAGCATTTAGGGGCTTAGAATTCTAAAGATAACTAACTTGATCAGTACAATAAAAATGTATTTAGGGAAGATTTCTTGGTCTTTTAGCCAAGTTCATCATTGTTTGCTGAACTTTGGTTAATGTTCTCATAAGAAATAATCATAGTTTTGATATCGTCTGTGAGGGGGATTCACTGAATTTGTTTAAAAGAACAGTCTATCTATCACCTTACCAGAAGAGCATGAGACTTATCTGTTCACCCAGAATTAAGGCAAAATGGTGGGTTCAGTAAAGTTCCTATTTGTGTTCAAAGCTCAGCATTCATGAGGGATTTCTGCACCAAAATAGTATTTTCTG